CCCCGCCTTCTAAATACACACACACACACACTCACTGACAGATACGCATACACTAGCTAAAAGAAACACAAACTCACTGACACACACAGACACTCACTCACTCACTAGCAGACACACACTAGCAGACACACACACACTCACTGACACACACACTCACAGGAAAACATACACACAGTCAAACACACACACACACACACAAACACACTCACTCACTAGCAGACACACTCACTCACTAGCAGACACACACTCACTAGCAGACACACACTAGCAGACACAAACACTCACTGACACACACACACTTACAGGAAAACACACTCACACTAACAGTCAGACACACACACACACTAACAGTCAGACACACACACACTAACAGTCAGACACACACACACACACTCACTAACAGACAGACACACTAACAGACACACTCACCGACAGACACACTCACTGACAGACACACTCACACACACACTAACAGACACTCACTAGCAGACACACTCACTCACAGACACACTCACTCACAGACACACTCACACACACACTATCAGACACACTAACAGACACACTCACACACACACACACTAACAGACACACTAACAGACACACTCACACACACTAACAGACACACACACTCACACACACACACACACACACTCCACACACACACTAACAGACACACTCACACACACACACACTCACACACACACACACACACACACACACACTAACACACACACACTCACACACACACTAACAGACACACTAACACACACACTAACAGACACACTAACAGACACACTCACACACACTAACAGACACACTAACAGACACACTCACACACACACTAACAGACACACACACACTAACAGACACACTAACACACACACTAACAGACACACATAACAGACACACACTCACACTCACAGACACACTCACTCACACACACACACACACACTAACACACACACTCACACACACTAACAGACACACTAACACACACACTAACAGACACACTAACAGACACACTCACACACACACTAACAGACACACTAACACACACACTAACAGACACACTCACAGACACACTAACAGACACACACACACTAACAGACACACTAACACACACACTAACAGACACAATAACAGATACCCACTCACACTAACAGACACACTCACAGACACACTCACACACTCACATTAACACATTTATTTTTTTAACCACCCCCCCCTTACCTTTGGAAATGCTGGGGGGGGTCTCTTTCTCCCTGGGGGTCCAGTGGTTGCCGGGCTGGGCGGGCGGCTGGCGAGGGCAGCTTCCTCTGAGCGGTCTGCTCAGATCCCTCGCGCCTCAGAGTGAGGCTGGGAGCCGGAATATGACGTCATCAACCCGGCTCCCAGCCTCACTCTGCGGCTTGCAAGGGAGCTAAACAGACCGCTCAGAGGAAGTGCTCCCTCGCCAGCCGCCCGAGGAGCCACAAGGCTAACAAGGCATTTGGGCATTTGGGGGGCGGCTTTTTTTGCCGCCCCCTGGAAAATGCTGCCCAAGGCAAATGCCTTGTTTGCCTCGTGGCTAAAACGCCCCTGCTCTGAGGTGCTGTTTTTCCAAACTAGAGAGATTTACATTTTTCTTCATAACTAAAATGCTCCATTCCTTTTATCAATTTTGTAGCTCGTCTCTGCACTTTTTGCCATGATATCTTTCTTTAGAACAGGTGCCCAAAATTGCACAGCATATTCAAGGTGTGGTCTTACCAGCGATTTATAAAGAGGCAAAATTATATTTTCATCCTGAGAATTTATGCCCCTATTTATACATGACAAAACCTTACTGGCCTTAGCAATTCCAGATTGACATTGTATATTGCTGCCTAATTTGTTGTCTATAATAATTCCCAAATCCTTCTTGTGTGTTGTTATCCCTAATTCACTACTATTTAGGGTGTAAATTGCTTGTGCATTCTTGACCCCGAAGTGCATTTCTCTACATTAAATTTCATCTGCCATTTTAGTCCCCATTTTTTTTAAATCCCTCTGCAGCAAAACAATATCCTGCTCACATTGTATTACTTTACAAAGTTTTGTGTCATCTGCAAACACTAAAACATGGCTTTCAATGCCTATTTCAAGATCATTTATAAATATGTTAAATAGAGGCGGTCCCAAAACAGAACACATTAAAGCATGCTGATTATACCATACCATGCTGATTACAAAGTTCTTCCCAATGAATTCCTGAATATTATCCCTGAATAGCCCTTCAGATATTTTCCCAGTCAAAGAAGTTAAGCTCACAGGTCTATAATTTTCAGGCAAGGATTTTGAACCCTTTTTAAATAAGGAACAACATCTGCCTCCCTTCAATCCTCCAGTACAATTCCTGAAACAAAAGATTCTTGAAATATTAAATACAGAGGTTCACTTATTTCCCCACTTATCTCCTTAAGTACTCGTGGATGAATACCGCCAGGCCCCGGAGCTTTATTTACATTATTTTCTTTAACTGCTGTAGCACCTTGTCTCGAGTCATCCAGTCACAAGTTATCTGTAAGTTTTTTGCAGCAATCATTTGCATATCTCTTGCCATAGGATCCTCATTAATAGATACTGAATAAAACTTAAAATGTCTGCCTTTTCCTGGTCTTCATTAACCAACAGACCCATCTCTGTTTCCAGTGTACCTACACGTTCATTTTTAGGTTTTTTTAGAATTGATGTACTTGAAAAAAAATGTTGGGGTTGGTTTTGCATTATTTCGCTATCAATTTCTAATTTTCTAGTTTGGCCACTTTAATTGCCTTTTTGCAAGCATTATTGGCTTCCTTATATCTTATATAGGATGCCTCAGATTTGTCAGATTTAAATGCCTTAAATGCCCTTTATCTCTTGTTTTACTTCACTACTAAGCCACATTGGTTTCAATTTGTTTCTTTTATATTTATTACCCAATGGTATACTGAGAAATGTGCCTTTCTAATTGTTGAACTGGGCTATGTGAAGCCAAAGTTTTGATCTGCTACTAGAAAACATATAGCCCAGTTTGTTGTTTAGTGAACCAGGCTCTGCGTGGCTGCCTTTACACAGTCCATGACCTATATCTCTCAAATAGTGGAAGAGAAACTCCAAATTGTGCATTCAGAGTGCATACTGCACACACAAGTTGGAAAATATCACTCTAAACTTGCCTCAATCTCTTCCTCTTCTTTTCCTCAATCCTAATTTGTTCTTCCTTTCTTTTTCTTCAATTGTTTTCTCTTTTTCTAAAACAAATGAGGCAAGGTAGTGACTGCTCTATCATATGTATTTTCCTCCGTTTGACAGAGCTTAACAATGGACAGAGTGACCTATGTCAAATTCTGTCACTTCCAGAGGCATTGTCTTGCTCATCCAATAAAGACAATAGTGCTGTATTCTCACGCAATTGTACAGCACTGACATGGGCTCCTGGTGGATGAAGCGTCAGGAGCTGAAAATAGAAAGGACGGCACCTGCAGGGGACAGCATCAGGTAAGTATATCTACCCTCTGCTGCGTCCCAGGATCACCGCACCCCATACGTCCAGAAGGTGAGAGAGCCGCTTTAACCCCAGCAACCCTGTACTCTTTTAATATAACGCAAGTTCTAGGTTATTTGAATATTTTATTCTACGGGGAAACTACCAGAAAAGTGATGGTCTCATTAGTAGAGATTCATTGAGAATATAAATTATGACAGCTCAAAGGTGTATTTACTATGTAAAGGTGTATTTACCCAAAGTGTGGCAGTTTGGGTAACATTTGTTCTGATGAGTAGAATCATACCTTTTAGGCTTTTTGCTGTAAAAGAACACTGTCTTTTCAGAGAAAATGCAGTGTTTACATTACAGCTTAGTGATAAATTCACTGGCCACTCCTCAGATGGCTGTTAGAGCTGCTTCCTATCTCAGTCTTGCCTAGTGTGCATCACAACATATCAGTATCTCCTCCCTCTGCATGCAGACACTGAACTTTCCTCACAGAGATTCATTGATTCAATTCATCTCTATAAGGAGATGCTGATTGGCCAGGGCTGTATTTTAATTGTGCTGGCTCTGCCCCTTATCTGCCTCCTTCACAGTCTCAGCCAATCCAATGTGTAAGCATTGTGGTTGGCTCAGAACAACACTTCTGATGATGTCAAAAGACAGCTTGCTATTCTGAGGCAGACAGGGGCAGAGCCAGCAGCTTCAGGCTTGAATACAGGTAAGATTTTACTATATTTAGGGAGGCAAGAGAGGGCCAGGTGGGCTAGATGGTGATTTTAACACTATAGGGTCAGAAAGATATGTTTGTGTTCCTGACCCTATAGTGCTCCTTTAATAAAATTAAATAACGGAATTATATACCACTGGCAATTCAGATCTGCTGAAAATAAAGGCAACATTCCATGGAAAATGTTGGTATTTATCTAACAGTGGCTACAAAGCAACCAAAAATTTGCCAGAATTCATTAATAAATAAATCTATCTATCTATCTATATATATATATATATATATGTTGTGTATATATATATATATATATATATATATATATATATATATATATATATATATATATAGCAAAAACCAAAAAGGTTATAGTGGGGAAAAAAATTATGATTAAAAATTACTTCCACCTGAAGTCTGTGGATAGTTAATACAATGTTAAACAAAAATCTGTCAACCAGTCAAGCCATAAGACTTGGTTTTCCCACAAAAATCACAAATTTGCAGTGATGTTACTACCGCAAAGGATTCTGGGTGGGTATGAAGCAGCTGTCCTTTCGTGGTTCACTGGCTTTGCATCTTTTCCTAAGTTGTGTTTCAAAGCTGTTGTATACAGCAAACACAGACTCAAAGGAATCCATGTTTAAAATGGAATGAGGCAAAAATGTGATTCTTTGTTAAACTAATTTGCATATGCTCACCCAGAATTCTTTTATGTAGTATGACTTGATTGATGTGCAGATTTTTGTTTAACATTGTATTAACTATATTTAAAGTTATACTGCAATACTCTGGTATTTTGGCATCCTTTATTTGTATATATATATATATATATATATATATATATATATATATATACACACAGACACACACACACATCCTTTATTTGTATATATACACACACGTATATATACAAATAAAGGATGCCAAAATACCAGAGTATTGCAGTATGCCTAATAAGGCTAATGCATGCTACACTATGTATATATTTATACCAGTATATATGTCACACAATGGTTGTATTTTTGTAAATGCTGCATACGTCTCATGCCCTCTAGTGGTATGTAGTTGTATTACAAATATAACTTTTATAGACGTGTCCTTGAAGATTTAAGAATTTATGATTAAACATATCCAAATCAGATGTGCACACCCAAGTATTGGTACAGAATCCTAAAAAAACTGGTGTAGAACCTCTCATTTTCCTATGGCTTGCAAAGGAAATAAGATATAAAAAAAAAAAAAAATCCAGAATTTATTACAAAATAAAAACAAAACCAATGAAACACAGAATTGTCATGCTGCTTCCATCTAAAACATAGCACACACCCACCCCACTTAACTCTGGGTGCTTCTAAGGTGCTGATCAATTCCAATATCCTTTCTCGCCTTGACTACTGCAATCTGCTTCTCAGTGGTCTTACGCATTCCCAGTTTGCCCAGTTACAGTCTATAATAAATGCGATTGCGAGCCTCATCTTCCTGTCTGCCTGCATCTCCCACACCTCATCCCTCTGTCAGTCCCTACTGACTTCCCGTGAGATATAGGCCTCAATTTCTGATACTTGATTACAAATTTCTGCAAAACACAGCTCCAATGTATCTATCCTCCCTAATCCACAAGAATGCCCCATCCAGGCCCCAATGCTCTGCCGAAGACCTGTGTCTATCATCTGTTCATAGTCGCTCCTCTGATGCTCACCTTCAAGACATCCGTGCTGCGTTAGACTCTCACCCAGTTTCCATTCCTTCAAAATAAATAAATGAAAACTCAGTACTTTAGGAAAGCATTTCAATTAAACTGTTAATAGCTTTCCCGTCCCGCACCTTGGTAACCACTTTGATTCCTCTCCTTCAATTGTGTCACCTAAAACACAAAGCCTTTATTGTAACAATTCTAGGAGCTTACTTTTCCCGTACATTAAATACATCTTGCCCTTACCTCTTGTGTCACTTTACTCCACTCCCTCTAGAATGTAAGCTCTTTTGCTCTCAACACCCTCTGTTACTGTACACTGTGCGTCCAATTCGTCTTGTTAAAATACTTTTACTACAGCGCTGCAGAATTTGTTGACGCTTTATAAATAATAATAATTGCCATCCAACCAGCTCTACACACATCCAGGTCATTTTATAATAAAGTCTTCCCTCAATGATCCATGGCCATTGCGACCCACTGAGCATGAGCTAAATAGTCTGGGCTGACCCTGATAGTTTCGCTAATAAGCTTGCTATGTGGTTCAGTTATAGATAGGCCAGACTATCTAGAAAGCAAGAAAGGGCTAGAAAGGCCTAGATTTTTCATTACTTAATTGTCAAGGCAAAATACTGGATGTCCTTGGACCCAGTGCTAAGATGTTTGACATGGTCGAAACAGCCCTGGCAGGTGGTACTCCTGCAGAGGCTTTGGTGACCAAGAGACGTAAGGAAATCCTTATTAAGAATGAACCAAAATTGGTGAATTTGGCTATATCTGAGCCTGGGCCACAGGCAAAAGGCCTCTTATTTGGGGACAATTTTGGGAAGGAGCTGAGCATGTATGTGGGGACTTTTACAGCACACAATAAGGCACAAGCCAATATGAAAAAGATATTCTCCCAAAGAGTTTTTGGCAGGGCCGGCAGATATCGGGGCCATCTGCCCGGCCGCTCCTCCTGGAGCTCATACCGGGGTTCTCGAGGTTCCGTGCATTCCCGATTCCAAGGTCCTGATCCTAAAACCACCTTACCATTCTTCCCAGTTCGTGGCAGGTCTTGGCAATCTCATGAAACCAGAGGTTATTCCTATGGCCGACACCCTTATAGTAAGTTCACTTCCGTCACATCTTTCTTCAATAACAGATTATGTTATTTTGAAAATGCTTGGCGCATGTTAACTTTGGACTTGTGGGTCCTGCAAACCACTGTTACCCAACCTAGTCCTCAGGGACCACCCACTGTCCAGGATTTATGTATTTCCCTGTTTTATTTCAATGGAGATACTGACTAAACCTGGACTGTTGGTGGTCAATGAGAACTAGGTTGTGGAACAATGCTGCAAATTGTTCTGGGTTATTCCATAGATTTCGTACATTACCCTGTACAAATGTGTTTGCCCAACCAAATAGTTTTTTTCTTCACAAGACTGGTCCTTAGTAGCAGCTGAGACACAGTCTCTAGCCACCAAAGGCACAATCTCAGAGATGCATTCACATGCCCCAGGGTTCCTAAGCAATCTCTTCCTCATACTCAAGAAAGGTGGGGGTGTCTGACTGGTCATCAATCTACGCCCCCTAAACGCATTTGTCGCATACCACCATTTCAAGATGGAAGGTATTCACTCTCTCTGAGACCTACTCCACCTGGGGGATTGGATGGTCAAACTCGACCTGCATCCATCAGACACTGGCATGTCCTGTTCTTACACTGAGACAATTGGCTAGGATCATCTGCCTTTTTTCAGCCTCAATCCAAGCCATTTTTCCAGGTCTACCTCATTACAATGCCCTACAACGCTTAAAAGCAAAACACCTTTGTTTGGGTCACTCTTATGCAGATTCTGTTCCTCTCGACTGCTCAGCCAAAGAAGAACTCAATTGGTGGCTGCAGCACATGGAGGCGTGGAACGGACGAGCATTCTTTGGGACCTGGATTTGGTAGTGGGGTCGGATGCAAGCATGCTTGGTTGGAGCGCGCGCTGCGGTCCTATTTCCACCAAAGAAAAATGGTCCCCAAACGAATAGGGGTTACACATCAATTGCCTCAAATTACTGGCAGGCTCGTTTGCCCTTCAGAGTCTGTTAGGGATTTTGATCAACTGCTCCATCCTTCTACGTATGGACAATGTTTCAGCAACCATCTCGGAGGCACAAGGTTCACGGTTTTGGCAGAGCTGGTGAAGGAATTTTGGCAATTCTGCCTGGATCGCAATATCTCGGTTCAAGCGGAAAACATTCACGGGATGGCCAACATAGTAGCAAACTGGAACTCCAGATACCTACGGGTTTCCAGTGATTGGCATCTGAATTGTGCCAATTTCCTCCACCTACAGTCACTCTGAGGCCCTCTGAATATCCAATTCTTTGCATGACGGTAGAACTCCCAACTACCGAAGTACTTCAGTTGGAGATCAGACCCGGAGGCCATGGCGTCGGATGCTTTCCTTCAGCAGTGGCAAAACACTCATCATTACGCTTTTCCTCCCTTCTCCCTGATAGTGTGGACACTACTACATCTCAGATGTTGCCGGACCTCCTTGATACTCATATCTCCTTTCTGGCCGACTCAACCATGGTTCCCCACAATAATGGAAATGTCCATAGACTATCCGAGATTACTCCCTACTTCACCAGACCTCTTGCTGGGCCTCACACTCCTTTCTATTACAAGGGCACCTCAGGTTAATGGCATGGCTCCTCTCTGGGGACTTGGCTTTATCCCAAATGTTCCACAGTCGACTATGGACCTCCTGGCAGGAGGATGAGCTCCAGGAACACAAAAGTACTACCTGCATGCCTGGAAGTCTACTTTTTGAGAATTTTATTTTCCTCCAGTTTCACATTTTTCTGACATGGTAGTTTCACAGCTTTGCACTATCATAATAGGAGCCTCCGTGTCCTTTAATAAAATCACCAGATTTTACTAATTTCATGGGAGTATTAACGCAACCGATACAGGTACGTTGCGCCCTCTCTTGTATGGTTTCTCATTAGGTTATTATATAGTTTTATGATATTGCTGTATATTTACCTAATTAACGGTTTTATTATGATACTAGTCCGTTCATATTGGATATGTTATTATGTTTAATAATGCATTATAGATGTATTTTAATATCTGGAAACACATTTTACCAGTTTGTTTCTCTGTTCCATTCAGCTTCCTAACTGGATTTGGCACGGTTTTGCATTCGTTCCTTCCATGTTCCAACGGAGGATCTCGTCTTCCATGGAATACTGGTGTCATCCATCTACATAGTTGCTGTTTCTTCTTCACGATCGACCATATGTTTACTTAGATTGAAATGTTTGTTGGAATCATCAAAAAAGAGGAGTGGCTTAGGGTCACATGGGGGCTTATGGTGCAAGGATCATTCTGATTGAATGTCATGTTATGTTATGTTATGTTGTTAACCCTTTGAGGGTGCATGTTTAAAATTTTCTATGAATATTACAGTATCCTTTCTTTGCTGCTGAGGAATAAAGAAAGACATAAAGCATAATACTCGCCTCTGTGTCCTTAATAAAATCATGACTTTATGTCATGAAATTAGTAAAATCTGGTAATTATATCTAATAGCAGGTTATTAAATGTAGATATTTATGCAGCCGATGTAGTGGGTGCTGTAGGCAGGGCCGGACTGGGAAAAAAATTCGGCCCGGGCATTTTTTTATCACAGCGGCCCACTAAGAAGGGGGCGGGGCAGAGAGGGTGTGTTTTGTCATCACTCATGACAAACACGCCCCCTCTCAAAGTGAGCATGTTGGTTCAATGCTCTTCCAGGGCAGACCATGCGCAGAGCTCTGCTGAAGAGCTCTAGCATGAGAAAAAAGCCCTGTATTTGTTCTGCGCAGTGCAAGCAAATTTAATAACATGCTTGCACTGTGTTTCCTTGCAACTTGTCTCTGGTGTCTCTATAAATGGATACCAGGAGACAAAAGGCCAGGAAAGAGTATTGTGCATGTGTTTGGAGCCTGCTTGTGGTATTGCGTGTGTGCAGAGTGAGCTGGTCGTGGTGTGGTATTGTGTAATAAGGTCGGTTTTAGTCGTGTTGTGTTTGTGGTGTAATGTAATGCATATGTGGCTAGGGGCTGTAGAGAATGTGTGTATAGGGGATATAGCAAGTGTGTGCATATAGGCTATAGTGTGTGTGTGTGTGTGTATAGGTGATGTAGTGTTTGTAGAGAGTGTGTGTTCAGGGAATGTAGTATGTGTTTGCTTACAAGGAATCTAGTGTGCATATAGGGGA